TTTTTAAAGGATGAACTAATTTGACATTTTCGAGCGAAACTGAGAACAAAATAGGGTATTAAGCCAAAGTATTATTTAGGGCTTAGATGGGTTCGAAATTGAATAAAGAAATAATAATAAAATTAATTGCGTTAAACAATTTTACTCTGATAACCGCTAAATCAAATCTTAATTGCTATTAAGACATATAGATGATATTAACCTAACCTGTATAAATTAATTACACATTTATTATTTTTACTATCACACCGCCTGGTGTGGAATTTTCTTCTTGTAGGGACACTCATTAAGACATTTGTACGACACTATTTAATGGTGGTATGACGTACTGCAAAAGTCTAAAATGTGACCAACACTCTTCGAAGTTATTAAACAAAAACCAAACAGTTATATATGTTGGCTTAACAATATTACAATAATTAGATAAAAATTCAAACTTGATTATATATGTGTTAACATTGTATTTAACATTTATTAATAAAAGATTAAAACTATATAATTGTTTTAAGATGCATTCTTCTTCTCTATCTTGCAGTATTGTTTTTTCTTCTAACTCTTCCTGACCTCTCAAATTCCTTTCCATGGATATCGCCTCCTCATCATACAAACTACCACGGAAGTACGATGTGCTCATCAACTTCACTGGAGAAGACATCCACAGAAAATTTGTTTCTCATCTCAATTCTGTCCTCTCTACTGTTGGTCTTACCACTTTCCTTCATCACCACAATGCAGTGAAGTCAACTCACATCCAAGAACCTATTCTCAGCCACTGTCGGGTAGCAATTATTGTTTTCACCCAAACGTATTCTCAATCTGCTTGGTGTCTTAATCAGCTTGAACAAATCATCAAATGGCACGAAACTTATTTCCGACATGTTATGCCAGTATATTATGAAATCCAGCCATCTGATGTACGTCTTCAGAAGGGTGACTTTGGAAAAGTCTTGAAGGCAACTGCACAGCAAACATTTTCAGGAGAAGAACTGGAGCATGGAATGTCCAGGTGGAGCCATGCACTCACCAAAGCTGCAAATTTCTTTGGATGGGATGAGAGCAA